CTGAGCAGCTATTGCTAGGTGTAGGTACATAATTCGGTCCAAACGGTTCATGTATTAATTGGTCGATGTTTATTGATTTGTTCTAAAAATACGCGCTTTTTCTCTATGTATATAGAATATTATAACKCAATCTAAGTAGATACATAGCATTGGATTCAGCGTTACGCACAATTTGTAGAGAGGTGCATTATAAACCATAGAGAATTAAAAGTTGTGGTTAATATAATATATAATATAATTTTGTTTTTGTGAACTCTCTCAAAATCACAACTCTCTATTCGATTGTTYGAAGATGCTTGGGTTGCGAAACCGTGGGCGTGAGCATCACATAATATATTACCTTTTGTGATCGGCTGTGGCAGAATTTATCGCAGTGTTCGTTCCGCGCCGGTGGCCATTGTGATCGTAAATCGCCGCCGATGACCCAATGGCAGTTTCGCGCAATGCACCACCTAGATAACCGGATCCACCACCAGTGTCGGGCCAGTTTCGCCAAGATGTCGTGGACGATGGATCTTCGCCGCCGCCATATGATCGAGACCTTGGTCTAGACGGCATAAAGTCCTGTTGTATAAACACACAATATTATATTAAAATCATGATACGCTTAATCTTCACAATTRCGTTTTATATATAAATTTATCAGATAAATCATTAATAATTGCAGTGGTCGCGATCGAGCCATGGTGATAGGCAGGGACTATAAATCRTTCCTGGGAAACTGCAGGCATAATAATTGGAGCAATATTATCTACTTACAAGTATCTATAAAATGTAAATGTAAGGTAAATAATAAACTCTAGTTATTGATCTTGAAGTTAGTTTAGTTCGTATATTAAAATGTTTCGACTTCAACTTTTTGTGTTGTTACCATATTGAATTAAAATAMATTTTAATTATTAGATTCTGAGCGGGAGTGAGGAATTTATTGATTTTACTATGATGTTTTTTTTTTTTGTCTGTCATCACGTTTTGCCCGTTTTGGGGCAGTAAAAGTGCTTCCATTTTCGATTTCAGTACCTCTTTTGATCAGAAAGTAAATCTAGTTGGTACTTGGAAGGGGGAGGGGGTCAAAAGTAAAAAAATATTTTTCTTAATAATCGGGATAAACAAACTAAAAATWAAGGRAAAAACGGGAAATTTTACGCACAATCAGTTTTTGACAAAATCGATTTTGTTTTTTGATGTAACTTTAAAACAAATGACCATAAATACATGGAACTTTCACTGAATGTTTATATAGGTATTTTCTATCCACCATAAAATTTTTGACTTAAGTTGAACTATTTATATGCATACCTATGCAATTTTCGACCATTATTAGTTTTTTTTAAATTTATATCGATACAAATTTATTTGTTAGGTAGAAAAGCTTGGAAATTGAATATAAGGCTCCTAAAATATTGTTAAAATAGCAGTTGAAAAAGCAAAGAAATTAATAGTCACAATTTTTTTTTATAAGCTTTCAAGGTTTGAATTTTGACAAAATACGTAAAAATTACGAAAATTCGCAAATTATTWTAARCTAGAAACTCATAAAAAAATTTCCTTTTATATCTAAGATTTGAAAATTTAATACAAGATTTCTTACAAGTTTTTCAGCCTTTATCATAAAATAAATATCCTCCAGAAAGTCAAATTTAGTTTTTATGAGCGTTTAAAATTTAAATTTGTAGACATTGGGTTTTCCCATTTAGCAATTTTCTTATTTTAGTGTAACTAAAATTTCAACTTCAATTTTCAACTTTTTAGTTTTTTTTCGTCTATTAATGTCAATAAAATTTTAGTAGTTGGGTCAAAAAGATTCAAAATTTTATATAAGGTTTCCAACATATTGTTTCAATAGCAGTTGAAAAATATTAAAAATACATAGGCACGATTTTTTTATAAGCATTCAAAGTTTAAACTTTGACAACATACGTAAAAATCACGAATATTCTCAAATTATTTTAAACTAGAAATTCATAAAAAATTTTCTTTTTAGATCCTTAGATCTGATTTAAAAGATTTGAACATTTTAAATAATCTATAATATAGGTATCCTAGACAGGTAATCCGTCTCCGCTCAAAATCGTTTTTCGTATACAATGATATAATATCATTGGATTCAAATTTAATTCCATCCATTATAGTAACCCATTTGTAACCTACAGTACAGCAAAGTGACATCCACGACTTAATCACGTTWTTTAAATTTATTCATATTATATTAAATAATAATAATATAATAACACAAAATACACACGATAATATCCACARATTTTTTTATTCACGTYAGAAGCAATTTCCAAATCACCACCATAGCCAGTCCACGGTACTGGATCGATAGAGTCCTATATGGTGGTCGCTGTACGACATAATATGTAGGTATATCGTATGTATTATATTATACGCTTACCGAGTTTCTGCTGCTGTAACCTCCACCCAAAACGACGTCGTCAAGTAACATTGCGGCAACCGAGGCGTTGTCTTGCTGCTGTAATCGCAGCAATTCGTCGTCGTCGTATACGTCTGACAAGTGATTGGCACCGCCCAACCCTCTAATCAGCCGTCCACCACCGCCGGTTTGTCGTTGTTGCTGGTTCTGGTACCATCTTCTTTCAAGATGATCTGGCCTGTAAATACCAAGYAAGTAGGTATATAGGGTACCGAACATAATTGATAATATTGGCAAATACAACGATGATTTATCGAGTTGGATATAATTCAAATCAATCATAACTTCAAAGTAAATTAGTTTCAATATTTGTTTTGAGATTTGTTAACATGTAAACTGTAGAGTATTAGATTATTGGAGTATTTGCGCATGATTTAGAATTTATCAATCTTTATATGTATTATTTTTCATTTTGTTCAATTGAATTATGTAATAGAAACACTTAAACGATGATTAATTTTATGATTGTCCACATCTTAATTGTGTACATATTTTTGATGTTAAATTAAACAATAAATGAGAAAGATTCAACTTAAGCTAGAAAGTCAATGTAAATCCCAAATTTGCAAGATTTTAGATTGATAATCTGTGTGTAGGTATT